TGCGATAAATGTCGTTGTGAAAATTGATCGAAAATATTTTTCTTTTTCTTATCATCAAGTAGAGCAACGCCAAAATAATGGACTAACAAACAAGTTTTACATACATTATCATTTTTGTTATGTTTATAATTTCTCATCAAAAATCACAATTTTTATATCGATTTTTCATGCGCAAGATTGTGAAAATTCGATAAAGTGATATTGCGTTTCGCGGAAGAAAATAAAGTTATAATCATTGGAGAAGCGCGTTACCAGAGGCAGAGTTTGGAAGTTGTACAAAATTTCTAGAATATCTGTAAAATTTCAATTTCGAGTGGTATTTGCAGAACGATCTCGGATTGCATCGACATCTGATTTACTCATGTATCCGATCGTGACTTTATTGTCCGTTTAAGCAACTCTCTTCGAGCAATTGACTTTGCTCCTTACCATGCTTTTCGCTCAAATTGCCCATTGTCCTTCACGAGAACCATACTCGAAAATGAGACTGTAATCGTAATCTCTTTGTTCCCCGAGAATAATATCGGCTGTACAATCTTTTCGCAGAATGCAGTTTACGCGATGATTGGTGAAACGCTGAACATTTTTCTCTGAACAAATCGATACGATATTAGGAAGTTAGCATGTGCGTTGCAATCTTACGATGTACCTAAATGACGTTGTCTTCACGGAATAGGAAGATGAACGAGCAGCGATTTACGAGACCATGATTACATTTCACACCGGAGTGCCCGTTGCCCGCAGCCTATTGGCCATTGTACGCAAAGAGATGCGCAAAGCGATAGGAGATCTCGTACAGGACCGACAATGTGTTTGCGAGGTGGCGAGGACGGAGGGCAGGATTTAGGGAGAGCGAGGGTGCCCGACGCGCTGAGCTAGTGGAAAATAGCGTGACGCCTAGGCAGCCGGCTTCTTGTCTGGCTTTATTTCCACCGACGACTCCACCTCTAGAATCAACGAGATGGGGATCGGATCGGAGAACCGTGAAATAACAGCCCTGCGACGCAAAAGCAGGTTTTTTTTACAAATCTACATCAGGCAACAATTTCTTCTGCTCTAATACAGATAGAATATTTTCTGCAAGATTATACTGAATACGAAGCGCTAGCTATCAGGTAAATACGAAAAACTTATTGTTTTTCGCGCGCTTTTTACAATACAAAGCCCTTTGAAATTACAGATTCTTTTAATCTTAATCCTAAAAGAGAGAGAATCGAGAATTCTTAAATTAAATTTCTTTGTAAGATTTTTATTTCCATTTTCTGAATTTCATATTACGTTGCGTTTTAAAGACGTTGCGAATTTCTTATGTGTGTGCATATTATCGCGCTGTGGCAAAGTGCGCCAGATGAATATTGCACTTCAGAAGTAAATGAGAAAGAAAGAGAGATATGGCGTCCAGCACTAATTGCCAGTGGGACTTTAGGATCATTCGACACGCTATGCTTCGAGCATCTGAATTGAAGCAGTAACAGTGCGAGTAATCAAAGATTCGCGTGTAAAACACCAACAGTGCATCGAACTCGGGCACTACGGCACGCATGTACATGGGAGGAGTGCAGCTGTCCGGATTGCATCGCGTGCACACGCGATTGCGAATATCAATACGCCCACGTGAAATATAACGTTTTCATTAAAACTTACTAACATTATTAGTAGTAACTATGCTACAAGTCGAGCGCGCGCAGGATGTTCCGCAAGCAAGTAAGAGCCACCGTGAGAGAGAATGAAAGAAAAGAGAAAGAGATGGTAACAGATAAGTAAACAGAAAGAAAGAAAGAGATAAAAAAAGAAGTAAAAAGATAATGGAGAAAATAAAAAAAAAAAGCAAAGAAGAACTGCGATATTCGAGTAACCGTTTAACGACTATCTACGTTGCCATTCATCGTTTTTTACACTTAAACTGGGTAAGCTAAGTTGAGTTAATCTAAGAAATATTGGCAACTTGATTTTTTATCTGCACCTCCGTTTCGTGATTTTTACAAAAGTTTGCAAAATCATCTAATTTCATGTTTCAATATCCCATCGTCAAGAGAGAGAGAGAGAGAGAGAAAGAGAGAGAGAGAGAGATCCAATAACGCGTTACAAGCACCTGCTTCCTAACGAAGAGCGGCCTTAATAAGAATGTAGCGTCATCAAGTTCTAGGTAAGCGAGTCAATCCGCCACGCCTGACGAACCGGAAAGGATGACAGAGCAGTACAAAATACACGATAGCCAGTAACATCATCTTTGCTCTTTCAAGTTAACGACCTCACAAACCAAAGATCAGCCTGTTTTGATTTATGAGACATAAGTATATTTCTCTTTTTTTTCTCAACGAGTATTTAGATGTTTGGAGATATGGAATAAAAGAAGCTTTAATATCTAAATTAACTTATTCAGTTTTCTTGAAATTTTCGAAATAAAGCCTTTTTTAAATTAATTTTTTAATAATTTTATTCTTACGACGCTAATTATTAAGAGATATTAAAGCAGATTTATACATCATTTATATAAACATTTTTAAGCATTGTACTTATTTTCATCGAAAATAATACTACATTTTGCATGATGAAATATGAAGGCTTAATCCTGTTACTTAAATCTAATATAATAATCAGATTGATAGAAGCTTTAATAAAAACTTCTATCTAAAGTGTAATTTAAAGTTGATAAGAAACATTTAGTTCCGAAGTCGACCTCAATCAACGCGAAAATGTATCGCTTACGAAATTCCCATGATACTTCCTATCGCACCGTGCATCATAAATGTCAATTAGCGGCACAATACCGCGCAAACGTGAGAACAACGCCAATTTACTCGCTTTTATGCGCCACATGTTATTATCTCCGTGGTTCTGCATCAGAGCATTTTTAGACTTTCTTAATTATAGGGCAAATACCGAATATTTAAGAATATACAATTATTATCTCATGGGAAAAATTTTATCGTAATGATGTAATAATACTTCGTAGCAACAGTTTTAAATTCAAAACGTTATATATCGATGATATTATAATTTTGAATACAAACTTGCGTATATACACACGTGACGAGAGCATCGTTTTCCGACTGAAAGCTCAACTCTCGTCAATGCTCGTCAACTCTCATTCTAATATTTTCATTAATTTCGATCGATTTCCAGTTTGAGCATTGTAACGTCTATGATCTCAAGTACTTGGTATTAATTTTGTGATCGCATATTTGATGTGCGCTAACGGATATTATGCAATCTCGTACAACACCAAGTTCAATTCAAAGCAGAAATGTCGAGTCTTTCGCCTGGCTAATTAGCGAGAAACATAACCAGGAACATAGCGGAAATTATACGGATGTATAACTTTGAGTGACGGTGAGAGCTTTGACTAGAGAACGCACTGGCATCCCGGTTATCCATGTGCCGTCTTTAGCTGGGCTATTCTGACGTTTATACTGCTGCACACGAAATATGTGCATGTGGTCGCCTTTGTCCTGTTATCTAAAATTTTTACATATTGTGCAATGTGTTTGTTTTGGAAACCACATGACTGAATCGACCAATTATATTTCACATTTTGTTGAAAAAAAAAAAACGTTCCTTTATGCAGAATCTGGAAAATTACATTTTTGAGTGTCCTGTTTAATTTTCATGTGCATACACATTTTTTCAGTATCGCCTATTATTTTTGCCGCACATATATTCAAGTTTTATCAGCTGTGTGTATATCAAAACTTTTACAAAATAACAGGACAAAATTCGCAGTATGATATTTTTTAAAATGTTTTGATGTATATATTGAAATTCTCACATAATTCTCATATGCAAAAACATAGCTGCTTAAAAATTTGCAACAATATTCATAAATAATATAAACACAACAAACAACAATGAAAATTGGACAAATAAATTAGTTTCTAGATTGCTGCTTATCGTCGCTCGTTCGAAAATTTTCAAAAAAAAAGACGGCGACTTATTCTTATTATCAGATGGATAATTGTTCATAAAAATGTCTCGGATAATATGATTATAATCAGTATGCGTTCGCATACAACGCAGTCTCTAGTTATTATCCACGCGGAATTGTATGGTTATTCGCATTGGCACTCACTCGGAAAAACTCTATAAATGCGGTTGTGTACGTAACGACGGTACTGAACGAAGGTCTTGCTGCGAAATTCTCCCGGAAACGACGAAAACCAAAAAATGCAAGTGTACGCGTGATATGGAAGAAAAAAAGGGACTTTGTGCTGTTTCGCGATGCGCACTAGCACGATACGAAACCGCTAACGATCGTTCCTCTCCATTTTGCGGCTAACACCACCGAGCTTTCACATCGCGTTTCTGCATTGTGCTGCGTACATATCACATCGGGGACAAATAATTACCGATAAGCTGTCTGTTACACAACAACAAATATTTGATCAAACAGATGTCATTTTAGATAACATTTAAGCATCTAAAATACACTCTTTTTATCCTCTTTTTCCGTCTATCCAATATATAATATTTACGAAATACAATATTTGGTTGAATTTATCTCAAAAATACTTATATTTCATAAATATATTAAAATTATATATATGCAACTTTTATATACAATCCGTCGCCTGTTTTTTTCACATCATATTTATTATAATCTTTAGAAATCAAATTGTTGTGCACTTTGCAACTGCGAAGTGTACAACAATTTTTTAATGATGTGTTACTGTTTTTTTTTTCAATTCATAATACTAAAAAATTTCAAAAAAATATGTGTTTAATGTCCGAACGATAACCTGTTACGTTACAAACACCTATGATACATGAAATATTTACGAAATTGCATCTGTAATTATAAATTTAAAAACAGAGCATCGAAAAATATCTTGCTTCGTTAATGGACGTATGGATTATAATAAGCGATTGTACGAGAAAGTGATGGATGCGTGTACGTATGTGTGTATGCGCAACGTGTAATATATTATGAAATTTTTCCATCCGATAATAAACGATCGGCGCGGTATTAATTTGAACGTTTTGCTCCTTTTGGATTGTTTCAGAACTCCGAAATATCGCTGTTCGAGACGAATATTCGCTTCATGGGAAGCCTGCTTGCTTGTTATGCTCTCACAGGGGACGTGATGTTCCGGGATAAGGCGGCGCAGCTCGGCGAACGGATGCTGCCTGCCTTCCAGACGGAAACCGGAATTCCTCATTCCCTCATCAACCTCCATACCGGGGTAAGTGCGGCTTTTCGTTGCCATAACTCGCCAGCGTTCGCGTCAACGCACCAAAATGGGTTCGATGTACTTTGATATAAACTTGGTCCGCTTTCTTTCTTTCGAAAAAAAAACCTACTCATTTATTGGATTGTAAACAAGAAATCGCGGAAGTATCGTGAATTTATACAGGGTGCGCGCAAACTATTGAGACATATTTTAATGAAACTACTAGGGAAACTACTAGGGAAAATAAAAGGACATTTGAGAAATCAAGCCCTTTAAAAAAACTCTCCTTTTGACTTTTCCCCGTAAATTAAAGCTTGGAAGTTAAATAGAAAGAAAAACTTTCACGTGAAACAACTTTTATCACTAAGATGTTTAAAAGTTAAAAATGTTGAAAGTTACAAATTGTGGTAAAAGTTCATTAAGGAAAGATCGGTCCCAATTCAATTTTAAGCAAAGCGATCGCCCAGATGTACATCCAGAGACACACTCAAATATCGTGAATATATAGATCCCTGCATACCTAAATTACTGATTGCTGAACAAATTAATTTTTCTATAGGATCTTCTTCTCTCAAGTTAAATTTTCATGTAATTAATAAAGTTATCCTCGATATCGTTCGATATCGTTCACAGTCCACATCGGACAAACAGATAAAATCATTGAAATATTATATACAATTAAATCTTTCTGTACATCTTTTTTCTTATTATATATATATATATATTTTACTGCATATAATAGTGTAAAAAATATTTACATGTATCTCAATGCGGATATGTGATCAAGGAGCTGCATATTTCGTAAATGCAGCATGCTTTCGTAAATCTCGTAAATTGTTATGGTTCTCGATCCAAACGATCCAATATTCGGTTAGCATGGAACACGCGGTATAAACGTAAAACACAATTACTGCTCTTGCTCTTGCATTTTGATTGTAATTTAAAAAAGCTATCCCAGGGCGTGGCGTTTTTGCTTTTACGCGCTTCTTGTCAGGTATCGCATACGGCAACGATGTTGTGCTTTAATTGAAACGATTCCATCAAGTCACGTCTGTCGAAATGGCAGCCCGCGATTAATATGCAAATTCTTAATTGGATGGATAATAAGGCCGCAAGAGGTGCGATCTTTGACTTTTCTTGAGCGATATGGCCATTTGTATCTATTATTTTTCATTTGTTTCTTTATCCAATCATATCGATTATTCGATGAGATAACATTAAGCAATTATCCACAAGTTAAATAAAAAGGAAAATTTCTCATAAAAGCGATCGAATTTTAATGAAAAAAAAACTCATTTATGTTCAGCGTAAACAATTTAGATCGACGTCGATTTTATTAATATCGTGTCATAATGCACTATTTAAAAACACGTAGAATAATAGAATAAACAATTATTATACAATATAATTATAAAATTTACATAAAAATTCAATTAATAAAAAGTCATTTACAACCTCATTTATAATGCACAAGTATATAATATTGCATAAACATTTTATTTGAATTATGAGTGTTTGATTTGAAGTGTAAAGATGGAAAAAAGATTTAATTGTATATAAATTATCTCACGCAACGTAGCTATAATTTATAACTGTATATATAATTGAAAATATAATGATCCAATCTGACATGCAGTTTTATCGAAGAAATCGACATACACGCGTTTATATACACATATTCGAAAATTCGATAACGCGGAAAAGTGAGAAAAGAGAAAGAATCAGATTTAATTACGACGCGACATGTGTGCTCCGATTGACCTCACCCGCTTGACGACTTCATAATTCGTATTAGCGTTCTTAACGGACGCGACTAATTACCGGATGTTAACGTGTGCACCTTCGGCGCTCAGGCGTCATAAATTTTCCATTAATCTCGAATGCCGTGAGAGAAAGGGTGCAGAATGATGGAGAATATTTGTCGAGTCGGAAAATTTCGCATATTCCATAATTCTGTCGTAACTGATCGTTTTATTTAAATGAAACTCACGGCTTGTTTTGTCCATTCAAACGAAATACGCGATGACACTTTTTTTAACTCTTATAATTGTGTCATTGATGTATCTTTACTGACGTTTCATAATTCGCGAGTACAGAACAAAAAAAATTTTTTAAATGATAAATGGATAAAACAAATAAAGTTTATGTATTTGTTTATGTACGCATCAGTGTATCTCTGTATATTTTTTTGTTCAACCGCAAATAAATAAATAAATAAAGAATATAAAACTGCAAATACAAAGAATTGTATGACGATAATAAATACAAATATTGAACAATGTAAAACAATATATTTACAGAAAAAAATGTAATTTGACAAATCGCTGCGCGATGTATGACATAAGAAATTTTTATGTTTTCCCTTTAACAGCAAAAGACACGTGAACGCTGTGTGTCGCACACACGTTTGTCTATCTTACCGCGATGAAATTATAGCTGGCGGATTAATTGGTTGGATTAAATTATAAAGCGATTATACTTCTTCTACTCAAGCGATTTCGCGATCCTCGTTACAGTATTCATGTGATATTCGATAGACAGGTGGCCTATTCATATGTCTTTGAATTTTTCAGCTCAACAATGATTTTCGATTATCTAAAACTGCATTAAATTTCATTCGAACGTTTCTACAAAATTTCCATATTATTTCTAATATCTTGCTTCTTTTCACAAAAAATTAATATTTTTGTTCCATGTACTCTAAGTATTTGAAATATTGCCAAACTTGACCTGTGATGTATTTCAGCTAAAAAAGTGCGCTTATTTTTCAGGCTAGCAAGAATTACGGTTGGGCGAGCAGTGGCTGCAGTATTTTATCCGAAATCGGAACGATGCATCTTGAGTTTACCTACTTGAGTGATATAACGAATAATCCAGTGTTCAAGAGTAAAGTCGAGAACGTGAGAAAGGTCTTGAAGAGCTTGGAAAAACCGAAAGGTCTATATCCGAATTATATCCATCCAAGAACCGGAAAATGGGGTCAACGTAAGTGGAATCTCAGTAATTTATGTTAATCCTTTTAGGTTTTGATTAATATCCAAAACATATATCTACACACACAGATGCGCGAACGTGATTCGCTTAGAAAATTATTCGCAAATCGTTCGATGGTAAGAAAGATATTTTAAAAATGCAAAATATACTGTAAAATTAAATCGCCTCCTTATTCACGATGTCATTCTCTTTGCGTACGCAAATATATCTGATACAACAGCAATGTTCTCGTGTTCGTCTTTGCGACCAAAAATCTCTCGAATCCAATCTTCGATCTTCAATCGAGCAATATCAAACAGATATGAATACACGCGACGGTTTGTTACTACGATTTGACATTTAATAAATTTCCGGGGCGCGCACCTTGCACGAAATATATTTTTAATCTGACGGCTATCAATTACATCGTGGAAATAGTTTTCGCATAGCCGCGAGGCAGAGAATCCTTCGATTGCTCCGTTTCTTCGCCATTTCGCATCACCTAGCGACGGCTCACGTTGCTTCGCGAGAAGATGCCCCGCCGCGACGCCATCGACGTCATAGCCGATCTTGAATATCGCATTTATCATCCTCCTGTGCCTCCGGTCCTAAATCCTCTGCGCTTGCGTACTTTCTCATTGCGCGTATGACGATATCCTCGAGAATATATATCATCCAGGAGCCGTTCAGTATCTCGCACATCCTTCTCGTGTTTTTCACGGTATCGCTCCGTGTACAATAAGTACACTGAGAAGAAAAGAAAACTGTTTAAGAACAAAACTGGCGTTCCGACGAACAAAACAGTCTCAAACAAGTACGTAGTCGATTAAACAATTTTCCTAAATAATTTGACAGCTGTTTTATCGACTTAATAATTTATTATTTTAATGTAAAATTCTTCATGGATAAAATTTATTATTGTGTCAACACTTGATTTGTATGGCGAACTTGATACATTTATCGGAACGAGAGCAACCAGCAGTTTTGTTCATTTAAACACTTCTTTCTTTCAGTGTAACAATCTTGCTTTTTTTTACAAAAGGATGTGATACTTTCTCATTGTCTTGTTGTAAATAAAAATAAATGTTTAAGGCACAGAGTTTGTCATCTTCAAATCATAATTGACATTTGCTTAATAAAAATATTTGCTCGATTAACACTCGTGCATTTTCTCGCTACATTCTTATCAAGTTTTCGAGGAAGTTAGTGATCAAAGAGATAAAACAGAGCCATGCTTCCTTTCGTCGCAAATCTTACATAAAGTGAAAACCGTGTTCTTAGCTAGCCCAAGGCACCCAGGAATTAGCCCGGCAGAAATCAAGATCCCCTCTTTGTTTCGCCGCCCTCAAACGTGGTCGAAGTAGCCCTCTAGCGCGGATAACAAACCTCTTCTCCTTTCTGGGAAAAGATTCTTCAAACATTCCTTTATCTCATAGCGATTACCGCTGTTGTTCGTTTTCAAGCGGTATCTCTTTTAAAACAATTGAACATTCGCTTTAATCTGACAAAAAGACTTGTCCGCAAATTTGTAATTTCACTTTGACATGAAAGCGGCAAATAAGAACGCAAATAATGCATGCACTAGAGATTTTTGAATGAAAAAATAAATCTTCTCTTATTATTTGTACTCCGAAACGTTTCTTTAATAGCTGAAATATTGATTAAATAAATACTTGACAATCTTTGCTTAAAAAAAAATTGTTATCGTTTAGAGAATCAATAATAGTTTTTAATTCAAATATTATTTCAACACAAGATTAATCTTTAAGGATTAGAGTACCTATTGCTGAAGAGTAATAAAACAAAACGCAATGAATCTAGCTTGAAAGTTTCTCAAAAAAATGCATTGTGCATTCTCTTGAAATTTACATGAAATTTACAATAAAAATATTTCGTGGAAATTGCAGATCACATGTCGCTCGGTGGCCTCGGCGACAGTTTCTACGAGTACCTGCTCAAGGCTTGGATTCAGTCGGGCAAGGAGGACTTTGAGGCACGCCAAATGTACGACGAAGCAATAGCCGCGATAACTGAGCACATGATCAAGACATCCCCCGGCAAACTTGTGTACGTGTCGGACTTAAAATACGACAGGCTAGAGCATAAAATGGGTCACCTAGCTTGTTTCGCCGGTAAGTTTTTATATACACAGTTCTTTGTGCAATTAATCTTTTCATCATTAATCATCTGGAAGTGCGAGCGATATTAATACAATTATTTACCTCCAAATGCTCTATCAATCAAACGCTCCATTCAAGTTCATACGACACGTGAAGAAAATTATTTTATTTAACTAAAAATTTTATCATCACAAGAAAACACTATTATTTTTTATATAATCATATTCCTCTGAGAAACTAGAATTTCAATGAAAGATTTATCAAGAGACCAAAAGACTTGACAATAGCGATAACGTTATATATACTTTGTAGGCGGTATGTTTGCTCTGGGCGCCAAAACTCTGGAAAATGAGTTATCTGAAAAATACATGAACACTGCCGCCGGTCTGACCAACACGTGTCACGAATCTTATGATAGAAGCGCTACGAAACTCGGTCCGGAAGCTTTCCATTTTATCGAAGGCAACGAGGCCAGAAGCCTAAAGAATGGCGAGAAATATTATATTCTGCGACCCGAGGTAAGTCTCTACTTTCATTCAAAAGCGCGCATTCGTAAGATATCTCAGCCACGCTTTTCTCACAAAAGTTTTCTTCAAACGAAGAGTGGTTTCACAATCCAAAACCCGCTTCTAGCTGCAAAGAAAAATAATTGTACTGTAATATATTAGAAAGCGAAGAATTTTATATTTATAGAAATTATATAGCTTTCTTAGTTATTAAGTAGTTTACAAATTTACAACAAACATTATGAAACGTTACTTATTTAAAAAATTTATACAATTTATGGGATGATAAAATGAAGTGTGCTATTCTCCGCAGACCTTTGAATCATACTTCGTAATGTGGCGGCTAACAAAGGACCCGAAATATCGCGAATGGGGTTGGGAGGCGGTTCAAGCACTGGAGAAACATTGTCGAGTCCCCGGAGGATTTACGGGACTTAACAATGTTTACCTGGTTGACTCGGCGAAAGACGACGTCCAACAAAGTTATTTCTTTGCTGAAACATTGAAGGTAAGTAGAAACGAAGCATCGTTTCTATTCGGCTTACGGCACTTCTCAGTAAAGACCGACTTAAACGTTTGCTATTTACACCTTCCCGACAACGCAATATCTCGCAAATTTACATTTAGTTTAACCGATTGTCATCATCCAGAACTTTTCATTTCTGTTTGGAATTTTGAATAATATAATTCTATTGTTTATCTGTAAGACATTTCGAATGAATATCTTTAGTTAACGAAGTTTCGCATTCTTTGACTTCCCACCTAACATTTAAGAAAATTATTAACATGTTTTGATATATAATACTTTAATTATTAATATCAAAAGTCTTGATAACTATAATTATTAAATATTAAGAAAATAGGGAATTTTTATTAATACAAAATTTTATTATTTATTTATAACTTTATAATCCAATTAATGAAAACTTTTCATTCAAAAATTTTAATTCAGTTTTAATTCAAAATTTAATAAGTCAACAAGTTGATGCATCTCTATGTTTCGATAATAACTTCTTTTCGCCGAAACAAATTTTGTTTAATCATCAAATTTAGATGAAAAAGGAAATGACAGAAATGATTAAACGAATAATATTATTTAAAGTTTTTTCAATGTATAATACAGAATCAATGTAAAAATATTTTTTTATCTTTTTGCAGTATCTTTATTTACTCTTCAGCGACGACGATCTCATAAGTCTGGACGACTGGGTGTTCAATTCTGAGGCTCATGTGCTTCCTATCAAGAGTAATCCTTTGTACCGCCCGGCTCCTTCTTTATAAGCCTGGCAAGTTCACGACAGTTCGGACGATATCGACAATTCTCATTCGGCAGTGATAAAATTCATAGATAACACAGCGATACACAATGGATCAAAATTATATAGCGACTGAAGGGATTTACTTTACATTGAAAAGCGAGTTTCTCGTTAATTTTGTATAACATTATGCAGATTGCAAAAGAGAAAGTTTAACTAAAAAAAGAGAAAATAATACAATTACATACATATTTGTTTTCCTATTTTTCTTCATTCACGTCATATCTCGAAAACTTTATAAAATGGATTACAAATACAAATAATTTTATAATTATCATTATGATACACTCCGATTTTGAGCCATTGTGTAGCACAATGGAATCAAGAATTAATGAGGATAAAAGAGAATTAGTCTGCCCTTCAATTCGATCGCGTGTAGAAAGCGATAGAGTTTAAATTAAAATAATTATTTTAGGTAAACAAAAGAGAGAAAATGAGAGCGAGAGAGACGAAAGAGCGCGAGGAGAATGAGAGTGAGAAAAGCAGAATTAAAATGTTAACGAACGTTATTTAAGCCACACGTTTGTAAATAGCAAAAATAAAGAGAGTGAGAATGAGAGAACGAACGAAAGAATTATTAAAATAAGAGAAAATGTTGCGAGAGTATAAATGCTTTGCCCATTTCTTTTTACAGCCGCAATGCAAAGTCTACCAATACTTAAATACGTATTCATGACGTTGTAGTTGTACATCCTTAACATTTTTAACATTCTCTAATGATCAAAGCGGAAAAGTCGATGATTCAGCCGCGTTTCTTTCTTTTTCGTGTTAATTACTCTGGAAAATGTGACTCTGCCAGAAATACGCGAAGAAACGTTATTAAGACTGGAAATCTTATCAGGTTATACCTTGGAAGAAGAACTACATTAATTAAATCAAATAAACTAAATTATCAATAATATGTATATATAAATATATATGTGTTCACATATATACATATATGACAAATGTTTCTGTCAATGTTTCTTCAACATTAAGTTGACGAGTTTTTTTTTATTGCGTACGAATTCAGTGAATTGTCGTTGTTTATTGAAACTATGTGTGAACTGCTTTTATACAGCTAAATGAGGACAAGTTTCATATCAATCGATGCAAGCTTGTTTTATAACGTTAAAACTTCGAAAATAAAACTGTCAATCAATCAAAAAAATAAAAAAAAAGTAAAAAGAAGAAAAAAAACAATAAACCGAAAAAACTGTCAAACCATCGTTGTTAAAACCGCTCCGTACAAAGTTTTGTAACGCTAACGTTTCACATGCGCCTTTTTCCCGGATTTTTATCGATGTCCTTTAAAAAGATTTTGACTATCCAACAATTTTGCTATATCTCTTTTCCTTCTCAGTCTCCAAAATTTTTAACAAAAGAAAAGAGAAAAGTACATAAACCAACTGTCATTCTCACGATTGTGGTGCGAGCGTGCGTGCTTTTACGGCGGACAAACGAAATGGATAAAGAGAAAGGCCAGAGAGGATGTAAATCAAATGCACGAATGTTCGCGGCGTACAACGGCGATCATTATTGTGAGTCATCAGTATCAATCGAATGTCGTAGTTGTAAAGCAATGTATCAGCTGGTTAACTAGCAAAGTCTGTAATGAGAGATAGACCTGTATATACAGTTTACAAGAAAGTCATATTCTATACAAGGAGTGTGAAGTGTATAGAGTGGAATTGTAGAAGAAACACCATATAATTATATAGCGCTTGTACCGAATGTAAAAATTGATTCGTCCAAATCAAATTCCTCAATATTCAACGAGAAACTATCAGGAACAGCAATGTCTCAAAGACGCGCATTTTCGCAATGTTCAGGGTCGAACTTGCAGTTGTAATTACAATTATAGGAGATCTTTTCGGTAACAATAACGTTAATCATTTTTATCTGAAATGTTGGTCTCGTACAGACAATCTGATTGATCTGATTTTTGTTACGAGTCCTCGAATGAACTAGTTTTGTAAAATATTCTCCAGTAAATTTGACCCTGGTGGTATATCTTATTGAACTTCCGAACAATCAGTTAGCATCGCACTTGTCGATGATAAGAACGGGCCGGAAAGTTACTTAATGTATACATAGTGCAGTTCTCGCGTTATGTTTAATGATAAGATGAGGTTTCGAAGCAGAGTTTTCGAAATGTCTCTGACAAGCGTGAGATAGAAAATATATACATAGAGAGATTTATATTATGAGATTTACACACGCGCGCGTAACATTCACATTACGTGTCCTGGATGGTAGCGAAATGGTTGGATGAGCGACTATGCATTGAATTAGCGCGTGATAATAGTCGATAATAATCATTTTTGTTTCACCATCGAATCTCTTAAGAGATTTACGCGTTCTATCGTGATGCTTGTTATACGTCAATTCGGCAAACGTTCAATGTTAAGCGGAAAGAGTTGCACCAAGTTGGCCGATATTAAGCGTCGCTGACTAAGCCTTTTCTCTCCGACTACATCATAGTCTTAACTAACCGTTGGCAGTTAAAACTATGATGTAAAGAGGGGCAAGAAACCGAAACAACAAATAATTTTTATCGTGTTATTTGCGAAAAAAAAATTGTACGCGTAAAACAGTAGCTTGTACATTCTGCGCGTAGACCATAGATTCTTCATAAGTGGATTCTCATAGATAAATCACGATCAGTTAATGATGGTGCAACTCGCTCAAGATAATTCACGAAACGATGTACAATGTCTCACCCAGTAAGATATCATAGACAAGATTCATTTTGTAATACAAAATTCATTTTGTATCACAGATAATCATCATTATTGATAATTAGAATGAAGTATCAAAAAATC